CCCCAAAACCCCAAAACCCCAAAACCCCAAAACCCCAAAACCCCAAATTGCTAATAATTTATTGAAGCGCTCTATTAATGATAACCTGTGATAACATCGTGACTATCCCTTATTGGCGCAGAAAGGATGGAAGTGTCCCTTGTGCATTCCCTTTACAACATCCTTGACTCTGTAGTAATGAACGATTTCTGAATATTTTGAGAAGTCTTTCTTCTTGAGGTATTCAAGAGCCTTACGACGTTTGAGAAGAAGATGAGCTAATCTCTGAACAGCGTAAGAATCGTTGTTGTTTCCTTGAACATGCCTAATGCAACTAATAGTTTTCTCACAGAATACAGCTGCTTGCATGGCAGCACTTCCTGTATCATAAATTCCATTCCCAAATCTATGCTTGAAGGCTTCAAATCTTGCTTTTTGGAGCTCACCAATGGAAGCAGTATTCTTCAACAATGTCTAAATCACAAGATTAGCAAGATGTTTGTAAGATCATAAGGTTAATATTCTATTCTCTACAAAATAATAATTGGAGAGCATTTCTAAATAACATTTTCAGCAATTTTTTTCTTGTAATTAAGCAGCTGTCTGAGTCAAACGCTCAGAGTAAATCTCACAACGTATCTTCAAAATGTTATGTTGAAGTAAATATAGAAAGCATTCTTGGAAAATCAACTTTAGCAAATGACTCGAAGCAAACTTTATTTGTGAAAAATAATTTATCTTTATCTATATTGCAAATATTCTTATATTATAATCTTCTGAGTATTTCAGCTGGATGTGGCAATTTTGGAACCCGAAATTATTGTAAGTTCTGATAAAGATGTACCTAAATTCCCACTCTCAGTCCCCTTCCCAGCTCCAGACTTAGATTACCTTATTTTCAATTCCAGTGAAGTGAGTGTCCAAGAAGCCACCTCTTTTGATTCCTCCAGGAAGTCCTGGATCTCTGGCTTCATGGAAGTCATAAAATCTCTTAACGCTACCATATTTTCTTCTCTTCTTATTCTTAATTTTCTCAATGTAGCTATGCCTATTTGTAGGAACAGCTCTTGAGACATGAGCGAATCCTCTCTGGCTAATCAGCATCATCTGTGGAGTGCATATAGAAGGACACTTGTAGAACAACTTTGTCAGCATTTTTATATAATTATAATAACCACATTTTCAATATTCTATAATTGTATGGGGTTTTGGGGTTTTGGGGTTTTGGGGTTTTGGGGTTTTGGGG